TAGTGCACGCCCCTACAACGCTTGGGTGTATTTCACTTCAGTCTATATTACGTTACTCTGTTGTTATTTCCTCGTTACCGTGATAATAACGTTGGTCAGTTCCCATGGTCACTAGCCCTTGTTTGGAATAGCTTGCCGCAGTATTAATACCAATTCCACTTAATTTTAACTACTAAAAGCAACTATCACTTCAAAAACATTTTTTTATCTTCACGATATAAGGCTCTATACACATTCTCTTCCGTCAAAACATGCCTGAATCCTTTACGGGACACATACCCAAAATGTAGAATTACAAAACTGTCCAACACTCCTTCCTCGGCCCATCTTCCCACCACTGAGCCATGAGTTTTTTCAGATTGCTGTTTCCAGCCTTCCCTAGCTCCTCCCCTCTCGTGATGTCACTACTGATGTCACTAATGATGTCACTACTGACATACAGATGTAAAACAACCATAAGGCTACCACTTTCTAGAATTGTAACATTAAGCACTTTTAAGATGTTATTAGTTCGTTTTCCCAACATAGGTATTGACGATATTTTTTTTCTAAATAAATAAAAAGTATATGTTACACTCTTTGTTAGATTTTATCCTCACTTACTAGTTTATAAAGGTGTTCAAGCTATTTCCAAACATTACAAAGGAAACATGGAGAAGAAAAGTGCGGTTTTCCTTGAAATCGATGAAGATATAAAAGAAATAAGCTATTTTTAGAGGTAGGAACTCAATACCATTGAACCACTGATATGTATATTTGTCTTCGATATCTTCCTTTGTTGCTAACGTGTAATTTGTGGGGAATCTGGGTGATAGTAAACTGGTAGACAACCTGGTTACTTGACTTTTTATCATTTCTTACAATTAGTTTGGGGAGCGCTAAACACATGAAGGTCATACAGCACCTAGGGAAATGGAAGGTATTCAGATTCGATTCAAGGAATTTGGGGAGCACGGGTCCAGTTTCTAAAATCAAGAGTCCGTTTAGTATCAAGAAACCTTCCTGGAGGGACTTCAGTTAAAATCATATCTAACCCCTAAACTTTTGATCAGTCAAACTTGTATTGGTCAATATTTTTTATTGGGATATCAAACACTGGCTCCCCTTTTCTGTAATGCATATATTCTACAGCCCTGGGAAAGTTAATCACCAGGCTGGTGGTGTGTAGGTCTCTGGGAATGTTAATCACCAGGCTGGTGGTGTGTAGGTCTCTGGGAATGTTAATCACCAGGCTGGTGGTGTGTAGGTCTCTGGGAATGTTAATCACCAGGCTGGTGGTGTGTAGGTCTCTGGGAATGTTAATCAACAGGCTGCTGGAGTGTAGGTCTCTGGGAATTTTAAAATCACAGCTGCGGGAGTGTAGGTCTCTGGGAATGTTAATCAACAGGCTGCTGGAGTGTAGGTCTCTGGGAATGTTAATCAACAGGCTGCTGGAGTGTAGGTCTCTGGGAATGTTAATCAACAGGCTGGTGGTGTGTAGGTCTCTGGGAATGTTAATCAACAGGCTGGTGGTGTGTAGGTCTCTGGGAATGTTAATCAACAGGCTGCTGGAGTGTAGGTCTCTGGGAATGTTAATCAACAGGCTGGTGGTGTGTAGGTCTCTGGGAATGTTAATCAACAGGCTGCTGGAGTGTAGGTCTCTGGGAATGTTAATCAACAGGCTGGTGGTGTGTAGGTCTCTGGGAATGTTAATCAACAGGCGGTGGTGTGTAGGTCTCTGGGAATGTTAATCAACAGGCTGGTGGTGTGTAGGTCTCTGGGAATGTTAATCAACAGGCTGATGGTGTGCAGGTATCTTGGAATGTTAATCAACAGGCTGGTGGAGTGTAGGTCTCTGGGAATGTTAATCAACAGGCTGGTGGTGTGTAGGTCTGGGAATGTTAATCAACAGGCTAGTGGAGTGTAGGTCTCTGGGAATGTTAATCAACAGGCTGGTGGTGTGTAGGTGTCTGGGAATGTTAATCAACAGGCTGGTGGTGTGTAGGTCTCTGGGAATGTTAATCAACAGGCTGGTGGTGTGTAGGTCTCTTGGAATGTTAATCAACAGGCTGGTGGTGTGTAGGTCTCTAGGAATGTTAATCAACAGGCTGGTGGTGTGCAGGTATCTTGGAATGTTAATCAACAGGCTGGTGGAGTGTAGGTCTTTGGGAATGTTAATCAACAGGTTGGTGGTGTGTAGGTCTCTGGGAATGTTAATCAGCAGGCTGGTGGTGTGTAGGTCTCGGGGAATGTTAATCAACAGGCTGATGGTGTGTAGGTCTTGGGGAATGTTAATCAACAGGCTGGTGGTGTGTAGGTCTCTGGGAATGTTAATCAACAGGCTGGTGGTGTGTAGGTCTCTGGGAATGTTAATCAACAGGCTGGTGATGTGTAGGTCTCTGGGAATGTTTATCAACAGGCTGGTGGAGTGTAGGTCTCTGGGAATGTTAATCAACAGGCTGGTGGAGAGTAGGTCTCTGGGAATGTTAATCAATAGGCTGGTAGAATGTAGGTCTCTGGGAATGTTAATCAACAGGCTGGTGGTGTGTAGGTCTCGGGGAATGTTAATCAACAGGCTGGTGGTGTGTAGGTCTCTGGGAATGTTAATCAACAGGCTGATGGTGTGCAGGTATCTGGAAAAGTTAATCAACAATCTGGTGGGGTGTAGGCCTCTTTCTTGACCTAAGATTTTGATATCAGTCTACCTCTCCTGTTTAAAAATACTCCTTGAATTCCTGCACATATTTTACAGCTGCTTTGTGGTCCGAACTGGCAGCCTCACCATGCCTTATCACACTATGTATGCCACTACGATTCTTAAATCTCTCAAACCAACCTTTGCTGGCCTTAAATTCACTCACATCATCACTAGTTGCAGGCATTTTTCTAATTAAATCATCATGTAACATCCTAGCCTTTTTACATATGATCGCTTGAGAGATGCTATCTGTTTTTCGTTTATCCATACCAATAACAGTCTCTCAACATCTTCTATCACTTGCGATCTCTGTTTCGAAAGCAAAGTTGCACCTTTGGCAAGAACAGCTTCCTTGATTGCCATTTTCTTGGCCACAATAGTAGCGATGGTTGATTGGGGTTTTGTGTACAACCTGGCCAGCTCAGAGACACGCACTCCACTTTCATACTTAACAATGATCTCTTTCTTCATATCCATAGTAATTCTCACTCTTTTTGCTGTAGGGTTGGCACTAGAAGCTTTCTTGAGGCCCATGGTGACTTATTTTGCAGGTGCAATCACTAAAAAGGCTGTGATAATATGAAATGTTCCGATTGTATGCTTGGAAGCGACCGTGGTGGCTGGCTTGTAAACAATGGCACCCACGGAACAAGTGAGGCGGGCTCAGGCCGCACGTGGACGCATCTCGAACGAATCGCGTTGAGCAAGTTTTTTAGCGCTGGCCGAGGCAAAATTTTTGTGTTAAATGTATCTCTAGGCGGATTTAACGTTATGCGATGCGTTCGTTAGGCGAGGGTCCACTGTATTTGATTGAAACTAGAGAAATGCAAATAAAATAAAAGGGCCACATACAGTATGTAGAATAAAGGTAAGATTTGTTTGGATTTTTAATCTGCAGGGTTAGCCACCCAGGATAACCCAAGAAAGCCAGTGCATCATCAAAGACTGTCTGTCTTATTTCCATTGGAGTCCTTCAATCTTGTTCCCCAGAATGTGTCCCACAACAGTCGACTTGTACCCATGTACCTACTTACTGCTAGGTGAACAGGGACAGTAGGTGGAATGAAACATGCCCGTGTCCGACTAAACCTTTACAAAAATTCAATGTATGTCAAAGGCCCTAAAATCTGGAACACCCTACCTGAAAATTCCAAAACTGCAGACACATTCATCACCTTCAAAACTACCATCAGAAAACATCTTATCTCCCTGATACACCCTGTCAACTAATAATACGAATGCCACCTGGTGGTTCACACTTACACTCACTCACCCATTTGACCATAAACAGAAATATCAATCTCAATCTCAAAATAATGAATCTTAACTAGTCAAAAGTTGGCCTGTGATACTCCAATACTGAAACTATGTATAGTGCCAAAACAAAAGCATTCACATTGCTAAACTCACAACTAGTATTTAGTCACTTAGCCATAATACCAACTTATCTCATAATTCTGTAATATTTTAAACCTAAGATTTAATATAAGTCTGCCCGAAATGCCTAGCCATGCTAGGCGTTCTAGTGGTACACTCTGTAATTATTATTTTACTACATGTAAACCACACAATAACCAAATTCTGTAAACTCAGCATTGTAATACTTATAGAGAATAAAGTTTGAATTTGAATTTGAATTTGAATTTGAACATTTCCAGAGATTGAACCATGGACACTCAGTGTGTGAATTGAGTGCATTGCCAACCAAGCCACGGGACACCTTACCAGATGACTAAAAAATAAGTTATTAAATTCACATCTAAGCTTAAAAATTATTGCAGTCAAACACTCACTGAAATAATTTTACTGATTTACTATTAAATTTAATTGTTTATTCCCCCTTAATATTAGCTTGTCTACCACACATTTAGTCTTCATTGTACATGCATCATTATTCATATTTTTGCTTTTGCTTTCTTGTATCATCATATTATCTTACATATTCAGTCTGCTTTTGTATACAGCTGAATTATACATTATTATAAATTTAAATCTTTTCATATGTACACTTACCAGAATGTATGTTATAGTATATTTTCCTGTTAATACCTCTTCCTTAATTATAAACTATAATAGATTCAAATTCATGTAACTGTTTTAATATTAGTAAGCTTAGTCCTACTTCAAGTCTACCCAAAATGCTGTGCATACTAAGTGCTTTCCATGAAACTGAAACAATTGTGTATATGTAATTTATTTTTGAAGATTAAGTATTTGTTCCTTTGTGCACTGTCTTCTCAGGGCAGTGCACCACAGGAGCTGGACACTCTATTTCCCAAGCCTTCGTCCTATGAACGAGCTACTACCATCAAACCTAAGCATGGTAAGTGTAGATTATTTACATTTAATTTTTTAATGCTTACCTGGAGTATGCCTGGAGGGGGTTTTGGGGATCAACACCCCCGCGGCCCAGTTCGTGACCAGGCCTCACAGTGGATCAAGGCCTGATCAACCACGCTGTTAAAACAACCATGGTAACATCACGCATCCCTATCAAAGGCCTACTTTTATGGGATGATAATCTCTCTCCTACAAGAATCACTGAGACAAGTGCTTCACTACTTGACCATATCTAGACCAACACTATATCCCCACTAAGAGCAGGCATTATCACAGATAACTATACAGACCACTATCCCGCCTTTCTCATAACAAACTTATGTAAACACCCACAGGACACAAGTAAGATCTCATTCCGACTTCATGACGAGACATCAGTAAATAATTTTATTTCGGCATTATGTAACATTGACTGGCAAAGTGAACTAGTAGCCAGCCTGGATATTGATGAATGTGTCAAAATTTTTCTACAAAAACTCCAAAACCTTTATAATAGACATTGTCCAGTAAAAACAAAACAAATCACAGTCAAGAGACTAAACAGCCCCTGGCTGTTCCATTGTCAATTCCATTGACAAAAAACATTTATATGAAAAACAGTACAGAATGGGTCAAATACCAAAGGATCAGAAGAAATGTTACTCGTCATCGCTTACGAATCTAATAAGAAGGGCAAAAAAACTATATTATGAAAACAGATTTTATGACATAAAAGGGGATATGAAAAAGACCTGGAAAACCCTCTCTGAAATTCTAGGATCTAGGAAACTGCCTCGAAACAAAGTGATTAACCTAACAGAACCAAATGAACCTCTCATCCAGATGACAGCTACTGCCAACAAACTAAACGTGTTTTTCTCGACTATAGGAACAACACTAGCAAGCAAAACCCCAAACTCAAACACACAACCAAAAAACTAACTAAATAAATTACCACCACTCATGTATAAAAAAGCTTCTTATGTGTTGTCACCAATTATTGCAACTCTTTTTAACAAATCCATTGAATCTTCCACCTTCCCATCCATACTCAAGACAGCAAGGGTTAGTTTGATCCACAAAGGAGGTGACCCTACTGATTTAAATAACTATAGGCCTATATCAAACCTACCCCTTCTATCTAAAATCTTCAAAAAAATCATTCATAAGCAAGTTTACTCCTACATGTACTTAGTATCCCACAACATGTTTAACCCCTGCCAGTTTGGATTTAGGCCAAGAACTTCTATATACAGCACTCAAAGAAAAGGAAATTCCACTGGGTCCCTTCATAGACCTACAGAAAACATTTAACACAGTCAACCACAATCTCTTGCACCTAAAACATTACAGGGTCAGAGGACACCAGTATGTATACATAAATGGTGTTGCCTCCACCACACAACCTGTTCTTGTTGGAGTCCCCCAGGGTAGTGTCCGTGGACCACTACTCTTTCTCATTTACATCAGTGACCTCCCCAATGCTTCTAAACTACTTAAACCTGTTCTTTTTGCAGATGACACTACTTATATCTTCTCTCACCCATACTGACAAAACTTGCTTCATACTGTTTGGAAACAGAGCTGCAAATATTCAGCTAAACACATCAATAAATAGTTCCCCCATTTCAAGACACACTGACGGCAAAATTTCTAGGACTCCACATTGACTGCTGTCTTAAATTTCAGACCCACATACAGCATATTTCCAAAAAATCTCCAAAATAGTAAGCATCCTTTCTAAGATACGGTACTGTGTACCCCAAACGGCACTACTTGCTCTTTACCACTCTCTCATCTACCCTTACCTCACCTATGGTATTTGTGCATGGGATTCAACTGCAGCAAATCACCTTAAATCTTTAATAATCCAACAAAAAAGATGCTGTGAGATTGATTACAAGCTTCTGTACCAGGCAACACTCCCCACCGCTATTTAAGAGCATGAAACTGCTTAACATACAAAATACAGCCTCTCCTCACATAACAACGGAGCTCTGTTCCTAACACCACGTCGTTAAACGAATTCATCGCTAAGTGAGGAGCATACTATAATGGTAGTGGGTTTTTGTCAGCCATCTTTGATATTGTTTTAATGTCACCTCTGCAAACCCTTTATAACATTTCGGTATATTTTAAAATGTTTATACAGTAAATGTATTGTATAATGAAATAAACAGAATAAAAGGAAATCAGCTCTAATATACATTATTTAGGTATAAATACTGGTTAGAGAGCCCTCGTAAGTCCAAGGCGTCAGTAAACGAGTACATATGTCGCTAAGTAGAAGAGGCTGTACTCATATTATTTTGCCTACTACATACACAGAACATTATTCTCCAAAAATTTAAACCCTCCTCTCAAACCCTTCTTGAGAACTACAACAGAACGCACTTGTATGGCCCCAAGACACAAAACACTCTTTGATATCCCTCGTGTCCATCTCTCCCTATGCAAAAAAGCTAAAGCACAAAGGACACTAAGATCTGGAATTCATTGCCTGAACATCCTAAGGGCCCCTGCCTGCACACCAATTCAAGGGTCTGCTTAGAAATCACATCTAAAATTAACCACACAAACACTATAGTATATTATCTCCACCAACAGCTCAAAAATTCCTGAATATATTAAGATTATTTCAATATTAAAATGCTTCCAATCTCATTATGTAAAATGTACCAAAATATAATACTAACCTTAATCAATTCATCTCAATTAATATATTCAGTTTACTGCTAAACCACTAACTACCTCTGTTAAATACGGAAAACGATGTTCAATTCGAACCAACTACATATTTTTATAACAGTGGTACCTCCCGGATACGAGTACCACTGTATAACATAAGCTTTTGTAAGTGATTTTTGGGTCTGAAAAGGGTTAATCTAATTTATATTATTCCTTATGGAGCAATTCATTCAGTATTGGCACTCGAACAGCCTTCTGGAACGAATTAAGTTCGTATCCCAAGGTACCACCCGTATAATGCCTAGTATTAAAGTAGGGGCTGTTAACATTAGGTTTAGTCTGCCCAAAATGCCCTGGCATGATAGTGGCTTTGTTTGGGACTTAGGAAATCAGAATTTTAATTACACATTGTAAACTATGCAAAGAAATAAAATCCTTAATCCTTTCATACCCTAACCTGAGCCTCACTATCCTCATAAAAACTTTTAACAGCATTCAGTAACCTACTGCATATTCCATAATCTTTCAAAATCTGCCACATCACTCCCCTATCCACCATATCATGTGTCTGTTCTAAAAACATAAATGAAAACAATGAAAAATTCCTTACCTTTATCTAAATACATATTGTTTACTTATATACTTAGTCCCACACATTCCCCTACTCTTTCTAAAACTTCCTTGTTCACTCATCCTGCTGTCTCTTACCCTTAATTCTTTCAGTAATAACTCTACCATACACTTTACGTGTATACCCAACAAGCTTATTCCTGTGTAATTTTTACACTTTTTTGTCTCTTTCTGTATACAAAGGAACTATGCACACTTTTCTACCAATCCCTAGGTACCTTTTCATTTCATACATTTCTTGAACAAAAGTTTCAACCACTCCAAAACTACATCCCCGCCTGCTTTTAACATTCTGTCATGACCCACAATCCCCGCTGCTCTACCCCCCCTTTTATTTTTACTCATTGCCTCGGGGCACCTCCACGACTCGCACTCTGTTCTTCTCACTCCTAAAGAATCTTATACATCCTTAACCAGTGCATGAAATCACTACTCTCTTCATCAACATTTAATAGCTCAAAATATTCCTGTCATCTTTACAATACTCTAACTCCCCATCACATAATTCTCTCTTTTTGTTTTTCAAAACCCTCAATCCATTCATACCCTAGGGTTTCCCACCTATTAATCCCACTCCTAACCTTTTCTTATTCTCGGCAAAAATTTATTGACGTCTCGCCCACTCTTTCTTTTGCTTTTCCTTTTACCTCCTCACCTCTCTTAACCTTTACTTTCCATATACTCCACCCTTCTTATTTACTTCTACTTTTTGTAAAGACCTCTCATATGCTAACTTTTTTTCCTCATCATTCTACTAGTCGCTGTTCTTTTCCCCAGCACCCACCCCCTATTCCACAAACTTCTGCTGCACAGCTTAATACCACATTTTTAAATTTTGCCCCATACCTCTTCAACCTCATCATTACTTTTTACTCTCACAGCCTTTTCTTTCTCCCCTATTGCTTTTATCTTACCTAACTACTCCTTTAGTTTTATTAACTTTCACTTCCTCTCTCTCTCTCCTCTCTTTTCTCTCTCTCCTCTTCTCTCTCTCCTCTCTCTCTCTCTCTCTCTCTCCCTCTCCTCTCTCTCTCTCTCACTTTCCCCTCTCCTCTCTCCTCTCCTCCTCTCTTCTCTCTCGCTCTTTCCCCCTCTCCTCTCTCCTCTCTCTCCCCCTCTCCTCTCTCTCGCCTCCATCTCTCTTCTCTCTGGCTCTCTCTCCCCTCCTCTCTCCTCTCCTCTCTCTTCATCCCTCTCTCTCTCCTCTCTTCTCTCTCCTCCCTCTCTCTCTCCCTCTCCTCTCTCTCTCTTTACTCATTATGTCATTTTTCCTTTTACCCCATCTACCTCTTACTCTCATTGAGCTACAACTAAATAATGATGATATATCTGTTTCCCCACACAAACATGCACATTTCCCAAATTGCCCATCAACCCTTCATCCATCAATCCGACCACTTGTCATACTTCTATATCATACTCAATTTATTTATCCCCTTTTCTTAAAATATGTGTCTTTTTTACCAAACCTCTTTCTATACAAACTTTTATCAAAAGCCCACCATTATCATTTACCCCTGGCACCCCAGACTTGCTTACTATGCCTTCTACAACAGTTGTTCCCACTTTAGCATTCAGGTCCATCACCACTCACTTGGTTCAAAACTCCCTAAACATTTCCCAAATTTTCTCTATCCTCTACTCTCTTCTCCAGGTGCATAAACACTTAGTATAACCCAATTTTTG